TTTGGACTTCTCGGCCTCAGAAACTGTAAGCAATAAATTTCATTTTCTTTATAAATCACCCGGTTCAGTGTACTTTGTTATAAGCAACAAAAACGGACTAATACACTCACCAAGGGGCATATCTGTCAGACTTCTCAGAAACTTAAAAAAAAAGACCAAAGACAGACTGCCACGAAGCAGCACCCAGCACCTGCCAGGCTGTCTACTCCTGTACCATGGAGAACCTGAGTGAATTAGACTCATCCTAAAGGGAATCTTTGACAATTTTATCTTCTAAGTAAAGACCAAAATAGAAAAAACAGCCACTTAGTATAATGTTTTTGGTTTGATTTTTTGTTGGTGTTGTTAAATCTAGACCAGGTAGAGATAAACTCAAAAACAAATACTGTCCTTTAACAGTGACTGCCAACTCAAACTTTCTCCAGAGCATCCTGGCAAACATACCTGACTACTTTTCCCCAGACATATGACAAGGCAGACAGTGTAATTGTCAAGTCAGCCCTCCTGGGTTTAAACCCTGGCTCCGCCATGTCCTAATGGTATGACTTTGAGCAAGTTAACCACCTTGCACACCAAGCTCCTTGTCTGTAAAATGAGAATAACAACTAGATCTATCCCTATGGCTTCTTATAGGGATTAAATTACTAATTCAGATACAAAGGACTTTATGACAGTGCCTGGCACATGGTACATGCTATGTAAGTATTAGCTATAACTAACACTACTATTATTATTTTAATTCTTACTACTTTTATCACTGCATCTGGTATCCCCTTCTAATAGCTTTTACAAGGAAGGCTACATATCCATAAGTACTGTGATGGTCTCCACTGGGCTTTTCTTTTGGCTAACACCTCCAAGTGCTGGTGGCGGAGGCGTGGGTCCTCCTCAAAGTGTTCAGGAGACAACCATCTTTTTTAACTTGCAAAGTGAAGGTCATCCTTCCATCTTTTGTCTCACAACAATACTGTTATCATAACTGTATTAAACTGCACATTCATTCGCACACCCTACACACATTCCCTCACCCAAAAATTACGAAAGATTCCAAAACTGTCAATCTATGAATACATTACCTAAGAATCAGCCTAGGGAAATTTTGATGTTAGAATTGTAGTGACTTTGGTTTGACCAAGTAGGTATCCTTGATCCTTGAGAATCTGAGGCCTCTCAGTAACTCCTGATTTAGGTGCAATTTTTATGTTCCCTTCTTTAGAGGGCTACTATGTTTAGCATTTCTGCTTCCAATCATGTTTAAGATTTTTTAATTAAAAGTACAGTTGCCTGGGAATTAAGAGACCCAGCTCTGTAATTAACAATTTCCCTGTGTGATCTTGGACATCATAAGTTTGTGAGTTCTTCCTAAAAATTAGAGAGCTGGCCACCCAGTTAATCTCTTGATTCTTTATTTTAGACTGGTTGGCATCACTTGATTTATCCATATTTAAATATAAAACGCTTTTTAAGTATTAGTCACCAAACGAAAGAATAAAAGCTTCAGGTTAGCAGGCAGGCAGCTAGTAAATAAGACACCTGCTTCTTCCTTTATGCTTCCTCTGCCCATTTCTCCATGTCCTGAACTTCCAAAATAAAATCATTATCAATATCCTCCCATGTGATGCTCTTCCATTTGGTGCCTTCCTAAGTGGCAATTATCATAAACATTTGCAATTAGAAGGAACCTAATTGATCAGCAAATTCAATCCCTAGAAATCAAGGCTAAGAAAACAAGGCTGATTGACAGTGACTTACTCCAGATCTCACATACATTAATTTACTATAAGGTAACTAGAGCAAATATTTTTATCCTAGTTTTCCAATGTGACCAAGAGAGGGTAAGTGGCTTCCAAAGATAAACCTGAAAATAACAAAGATAAAACCAGAATTCAGATCACTTATCTCTAATGATAAATGATCCCTCAATATAATGTATATTTAAATCTCACAAAGTATTTTAAAATGCAAGCCCCTTGCTATGCATCGAATGTCCCCCCAAAACTTAGTCCCCACTGTGACAGTGTTATAAGAGTGGGAAATTCTCTTGCAGTAATTGAAAGGTGGGGCCTTCAAGAGGTGATTAGATTGTGAGGACCATGCCCTAGTAAATGGATTAATCCATTTGATGGTTTAATGGTGGTCATGGGAGTGGTTCTGAGGGCTTTAAAAGAAGGGCACATGAGGAGTTCTCTCTGTGTCTGCCATCCACCATGTGACACCTGCTTTGCTGTGACACCTGCTTTGCTGTGAAGAGTCACTACCCACCAACAAGGCTGTCACCAGATGTGTTCTCTGGACTTTTGACTTCCCAGCCTCTGAAACTGTAAGCAATGAATATTGTTTCCTTATAAACTACCCAGTTTCAGGCATTTCTGTTATAAGCAACAGAAACAGACTAATACACCCTTCAAAAGTGGAGTCTCTTTGCTTTCACTAAAATATCTCAAGTACCCAAGAAATGGCCTGACATAGAGTAGGCCTTCCCCAAATGTTGCCGAATGAATGCATGTTCTTAAAACATTACTATCAATTTATGTTCTACCTATAACTACTACCTTGGTTTCTACATTCATAAGAAAGGGAGTGTTTACCTAAATCTTTCCTGTTCGGTTACTGACAAAGTCCTGTAAGATCCATTGAGCACTTCATTCATTGTTAAATAGGGATGTTCTTATGTAAGAGGTGATGGAGATTCAAGTTACATTTTTTTTCCCAAAAATTTAACTCATAAATATTTCAAAAGTTAAGAAAAACAGAAAAAATACAAATCAATGTTGAAGTTAGTGTTGTGTTTGATGTCACTGCCATTTCTGACATCCATCCTTTACTGTCCTAAATCGACAAAACAGAACAATAACAATATCAACAAAATCAGCCAACGAAAATCAGGTGTTTAAGAATCAGCAAAAGTAAATCAGGTAACAGTTTAATTTTGTCTTTGCTCACTTTTTGTTAATATTTGAAGATCTTCAACAGATGGTGGTCCATTTTTTTTCTCATAAGGAATGACTGTTGTCAAATACTGCCAAGTTAAAAAACAAGAAAAAACAAAAAACAATGTGTCACTTAAACCTGCATTGCCTTATCTGTAAAAAATATGATACAGTTACTAGAAGGTCTATTTTATAACATGAAGCATGAGCCACTTTGGTATAGAAGGTATCGTACTATTTCAGCTGGAGCTCACTGTTTTGCCCACCTCTATCTGCTTCATACAAGCCATGCCAACATAAATAACCATTTTTTTGCATTTCAATTATTAAAAATTTCGCAGGAGTAGGTCTGAGGATGATTTGCTTAATTTGTTTACTTTTAAAGTGAATTCTTATCTGACATTCTCCCTGCGTATTTTTCAACACATTTTAAAAACAGTAATTTAAACTAAAAACATAGTTTTAACAACTCTGCACAACAAAATAATTTCCAAAAGCCAAATAATTCTGGTTTAGACCATTTTTATTCAGGCTGAACAAAATGGTCAACACGAATGACATGACAACTTTAAAAAACACATACCAGTTTCTCCCAGAGGGTAACAAAGACAGACTTTCCCAAATAATTTTAGAGATGTATTATTATTATTATTATTATTATTATTATTTTAAATCATTGCATAAGTATTTATGTTTTTAGGTATTAAAGGAGAAAAGTGAAAGGAGAGAATGGCATTAGGGGAGATATAATGAAAATTAATGTCTGAAATTGAAACAAACTGCCAGTGCACTAAGTGTAAAGGCTCATGAATAACAGAGTTATAGCTTATAACTATATCCCATGAAAGCATAATCTAAAAATGACTGTCCAGATTCTCCTATTCTGACCACTCCACCAAAAAATAGTCAGTGCAGTTTGCATATGCTCTTATAGAAAGCCATTGGGTTTTACCTGCACTCTCTTCAGCCNAGTGCAGTTTGCATATGCTCTTATAGAAAGCCATTGGGTTTTACCTGCACTCTCTTCAGCCCCACCCAGTATTCAGCTCCATGCCCTAAATCTCAGCTATACTGCTAATCCTCACTGAGTGGTCTTATCTCACCCATAATTGAAAAACCAGATAAAACTGCTTAACACTATCTGGATCCCTATGTCCAGAAAACTAGTAAAAGTAAAGCTAGTCCAGTCTGTAAAACTAGTAAAAGTAAAACTAGTGTTTCACTGTCTTTTTGGTGTCGACTTCTCCAAGGTATTGCCCAATTGTATAACCAAATATGTTTCTTTGTAAAGAACTC